CAGATTTAGACGTTGATGAACCTATCTCGTACTCGCAGGCTATGGCAAGTTCTGAAGCAAACCTAGGGCATGAAGCCATGAACGCCAAAATACAATCAATGTATAAGAATGGCATTTGGACTCTGGTAGATCCTCCTGAAGGGGTAAAACCCGTGGGATGCAAATGGATCTTCAAGAAGAAGAGGGGTCTAGATGGGAATGTGGAGACATTCAAAGCAAGACTGGTAGCCAAGGGCTACACCCAGAAAGAAGGAATTGACTATGAGGATACCTTCTCTCCGGTGGCTATGCTTAAATCCATCTGTATTCTTCTATCCATTGTTGTTGTCTTAGATTATGAGATCTGGCAGATGGATGTGAAGACAGCTTTTCTGAATGGCAACCTGGATGAGCGCATTTATATGGCTCAACCAGATGGATTCATTGAAAAGGGTCAAGAAGAAAAGGTTTGTGAATTGCAAAAGTCCATTTATGGACTAAAGTAGGCATCCAGATCATGGAATATCATATTCAATGAGATTGTTAAAACTTACGATTTTATTTAGTCGTTGGATGAGCCTTGTGTGTATACGTTGATACAATAAGGCAAAGTGGTTTTCTTAGTCTTATATGTGGATGACATACTGCTCATTGGGAATGACGTAGGAAGACTGACTGAAGTTAAGCTCTGGCTTGCAAAGCAGTTTGATATGAAGGATCTAGGAGAAGCTGCCTATGTTCTGGGAATTCAAATCTTTCGAGATCAGAAGAACAAACAATTGGCACTATCTCAAGCATCATATATCGATAAGGTAATGGACCGATTCGCCATGCAGAACTCCAAAAAAAAAATATTTACCCTTTAGACATGGAGTATCCCTCTCAAAGGAGCAGTCTCCCAAGACTCCTCAAGAAGAGGAAGACATGAGCCGAGTTCCTTACGCTTCAGCCGTAGGAAGCCTCATGTATGCGATGCTTTGCACCAGACTTGATATATGCTACGCGGTAGGCGTGGTGAGTAGATTCCAGTCTAACCCTGGGTTGCTGTCAAGCATATCCTCAAGTATCTTAGGAGAACGAGGAACTACATGCTTATATACTCAAGTACTGACCTGACTATGACGGGTTACATCGACTCCGATTTCCAATCGGATAAGGATTCCAGGAAATCCACTTCAGGATCAGTGTATATCCTGAATGGAGGTTCAGTGGTATGAAGGAGTATTAAGCAAACATGCATAGCTGACTCCACCATGGATGCCGAATATATGGCAGCTTGTGAAGCTGCAAAAGAGGCCGTATGGCTTAAGAAGTTCCTTGTTTCACTGGAAGTTGTTTCGGATGCTGATCATGGTACTGTATTGCGATAACAGTGGGGCTGTAGCAAACTCTAAGGAGCCTAGAAGCCACAAGAGGTCCAAGCACATAGAGCGGAAGTACCACCTCATCCGGGAGATTGTGCAAAGAGGCGATGTTGAAGTGACAAAGATATCAACACATGACAACTTGGCTGATCCATTCACAAAGGCTTTATGTGGTAAAGTCTTCGATAGTCATCTGGAGGGTTTGGGGATGCGATATTTTACACACCTACTTTAAGTTCAAATGGGAGTTTGTTGGAAATGTGTCCATAAAGTAGGGTGTAATTTGTTATTTATGAAATGGCAAATATCGGACATCATTATTTTGCTGACATTTATAAATAAAATAAAGTTACGTTTTGATTCATACTCAAGAGTGTTAGTAATATTGCTTAGTCCATAGACTGTTATCAATGAAATAAGAGTCAGGGAATCTCTGCCGGACAAGCTCTTCTGATATAGTTTAAAATTGATATTCGCAGCCTTAGGATCGATTGGGCAATCGAATCCGATTATGACTGTTAGATCGAACCATGTGATGCTGGTCTCGGGGCATGGGAGTTAGACTCTATGGTTGATCTAGACATGTTCACAACATGTTGAATAGACCATGTAACTAATTAGGTTAGAGCAAAAACCGTTTACAGAGCTCTAAACCTAATTATTACAACTTAAGTATATTTGCGTAATTATCTCAATCCTGAAGTGAATACATAACTCGACTTAATTTCTCATTGTCTTTGATTCACCAATGAGATTAGTTCATAGTTTTTTGAACAACATCTCGGCTATTGGGATCATGACATAATTGATTTGGAGTTATGTGATTCACAGATATGGAATTCGTAAGTGATAATATCACCTCATGCTTTATTGATGGGTGTGTGAATAAATAAACCAGGCCTGGTATTCAATGATGGTATTCATTGATTAAGACATCGTGACATGTACAAGACATCTTACGAACATATGTCTTTCTTATTCACAATCATATAAAGGAGTTGAGGAAATAATGACTGGTATGGTAAAACGGTAATTTTCTATACCATTCTAGTCACTGATATTTATGGAGGATAATAGTGCATTTATTCTGTGGACCGTGTGATAAATTGTATTAACACCATCATAAAAATAGCGCATATGAATCGAGAGATTAGTCGGCATCGAACCTTTAGTGGAGTCGTACAATGTCAGAATTAAATACGTCGATAACTTATCGGGATAAATTAGTCGAGTATCGTAATTCCATAGCTTTGTTCATATGGGTCCATTCGGTCTCAAGGCTAGCTCTAATAAGTGGGAAAATTGAAACTGATGTTTTGTTACATAATTATGTTTAAATAAATTCATTAAGTTATTTTTCATTTATTTGATAATTGAAAAATAAAAGGAATGAATTTGAATTTTGAAATTAATGGTGATTAATTTAAAATTCAAAATAAAATTTGAACATGATTTTATTTGGCAACTAAAGGAGGGAGAGAGTTGATTTTATTTTTGGAAAATTCAGAAATTCCTTGGCAAGTGGAAATTCGGATTTTGATCCAAAAATGAAGGGGAAAATTCAGAAATCCCATCTAGGGTTAAGTTTTCGAATTTCCTCCTATAAAGTGATATTATTGAAAACCCTAGTGGTGGCAAAGAAAAAGATATCTCACTCTCATTCTCTCCCTAGGGTGGCCGGATTTTGTAACAAAATTAGAAGGAAAATTATTTCCTTAGGTTTTTGAAAAAGAGCCCACTCCCTTCTCCCAAAACACTTAGAGTCATAGTCTTGAATCAACGAGTGGTTTTTGGTGTGATCGTGTTCATAAATCAACGGTCTTGTTTCATGGCAATTCTCCATCTCGGAACGTGAGATAGTGAGACAAGATCCTTGCGGCCATATTTGATCCAATCGTCATAAAGGTATGATTGTCATTTTATTCCTTTGTCCATAAACATATATCATGGATGTGCCTCTCGTTGTGATTTGTGTTTAATTTGGAATTAAAAGATATGTGAAAATTTTTGAACTTTCCGCCTATAAGTTTGTTGTTGTTTAAATGATTTTTCACTTAAAAATCACAACGTGATCTTACAATTGGTATCAGAGCCTAGGTTTTTTATCATGCATGATTTGTGTTTATGCGATTGGATTGTATGATATGTGTTGATATTGGCATCTTGCATGAATATGTGGTGAATTCAAAATTATTTTGAATATATTTATGGTTGGATCCCGATCGATTGGCTCTAGGTTTTTAATTACGCAAGATTAGTGGTTTATATTTTTTCTTTAGAAAAAGATGTAAGCCATTAAAGGGCATAGGAAATTTTGTAATTTAAAATTCCAGAAACTTTCTTTTGGAGTGCCGCTACCGCCGCCGCACGAAGCCCTGCCTCCGTCACCAACACAGTCGCTAGCCCCTCCCCTGGGTTTGGCTGGGCGGCACACTAGGGTTTCGGAAACCCTAGCGTGCGCCAGGGTTTTCTGAAACCTTAGTGGGCCTGCAGGCCCTGCCCAGGCAAGGGCCGCAGGCCCTGCCGCTGGCCTTGCCCAGGCAAGGGCTGCGGCCCATGCCACGCAAGGCAGGGCCTGGCCCTGCCTAGGCCGAAAGGGTGGGCTCGGGATTGTCCCAAGCCCAGCCCAATTTAAAAAAAAAAAGGGGTTTTATTTAAATTTTGAATTTAAAATTTTTTTTTCCTCCAAAACATTTTCTATTTCAGGGATTATGAAAAAGGAAAATTGTGAAGATGCCATGGAGACGAGATGAAGAATATTATTGTAATTTATTATTCATTTGTTTTATGGGTTGTAATTAGAAATGAGCCATAGAGAGGTTAAATTTTGAATGGATGATTTATTATTTAATCTCGCATCATTAAAACATGCCATATAAGATATAGTGATGCCAATATCAAATTGCCATGCGAACATGTTCATGCATCATTGTAGTTTAATATTATAAATTGTTATAATTATAAATGAAATGGGTAAATTTTATAAAGTGTTATAAAATGCAACGACAAATTTATAAAGGTTATAATTTTGTTGACAAAATATTAATTGGACTTAATTTTTTTTAAAAACAAAATCCATTTTTCAAAAACTAAGTGGGAGGGTCATTTGCGTTGAAAAGTTCCCAAGGTCTCCGACTTTAGCCTGATCGTGACACGTGGACAGGTTAAGAGCCACCTTAGTGGTCCTCACTTCAATGGGAGAAACCCACAAAGCGTGTCGCTAAGGAGTCATCAGGTTGCTTAAGAAGATAAGACTCGAAAAGGAAGTAGTGAGGCGGGACCATCCCTAGATGGATCGCTAGTTTATAACAACCTCTAGAGTCAATTAGTCGGTTAAACACTTAGACTGAAGTCCATTGTAACCTCCCTTAGGAGCTAGGCAATGGGACTGAAGTGACCAAAAGGGTGGTGATTAGTTGCACTGGATGTGGAGACATCCTGTAAGGTGAACCAAACGAGAGGAGTCTCGATGCGATAGGAGGCCTCACGGACGCCACCCCTAGGTGGGACGTGTTACCATTGATGATCGTAACACCTTGGGTGAAATATGTTTTTCAAAAGGATTTTTTCATATTTAAGTATTTGCATTTATGCATCATACTTTTCCTAAATTTTAAGCAAATTGCCAACGCCACTTTATTTTATTTTTCAGCAATCATGTCTTTATCCCCGATCGCACAAATTCTTAGTACGAACAAACTAGTGGGTGAAAATTATGTTGACTGGAAACGTAACCTTAATATCGTGTTGACGGTAGACAAGCACAAGAATGTGCTCACCACCCCCTGTCCTCTTAGGCCGACTGAAGAGTCTACTCAAGAGGAGCGAGACGTATACACTTCTTGGATGCGTTCCGATGAGATTGCTAGGTGCTATATTTTAGCATCAATTAGCAATGTGTTGCAGCAGCAACATCGGAACATGCTGACGACTGCAGATATGATCTACATCATTGCTGAAATGTTCGGCAGCCAGGGCCATCAAGCCAAGCAAGCTGCGGTGTGTAACTTCATGAACTGCCGTATGAAATCCGACACTCCTGTTCGGGACCATATGCTACTGATCATTAGTCACCTGAATGAGATGGAGCTCATGGGAGCTGAGATAGATGGGGAGACTCAGGTGGATATGATCCTAGAGACTCTCCCGGAGATGTTCGACAACTTTAAGCTCAACTACTGATTAGTGCATGAAAATGCACCATAAATACTGCTTTTGATTTATATAATATTAAAATATTTAAGTTTTAATTAAACAATTCCATTATTTTTATTCATAATATTTTTAATTGGAATTTGTCTAGTTTTTGCTTAATTATTTACAGTGTAAAAAGCTACACAAAAATAAGCCATGAAAGCCATGTTTTCAACCATCTGGAGCCAAGCCTCAGCCAAGCCTCAGTCGAGCCGCACCGAGCCGCACCAAGCCGAGCCAAGCCACTATCTCTCTCCGCGTGGGCCCCAGCTCTCCGCCTTTCCCCACTCTTTCTCGCGCGCGTCACCAGCACGCCGTTCTCTTAGCGCGCGCGTGTCTTCCACGTAGCCATCAGCGCGCGTTAAAGCGTTCCTCCGCGTGGGCCCCGCGACTCAATGCGCCAGCCTGCTCCTTTCCTCCGCATGCGACATCTGTCAACTTTGTCCCCTGTCTGACCATCGCCAGCTCCGTCCGCCCAATCCGCCCGCGACACGTGGTTTTTTTCCTCCTCACTGCCAATCACATTGCGACACGTGTCCCCTTGGAGTTGAATCCGAATTTCTCCATCAGTATCAGAGGAAATTGGCCAGATTTCTTCCCCAAATTAAATATATGATTTCTCCTAATTTATGTGTAATTTTATTTTGTTTCCTTTTCTTTTGTAATTTTGTAATTTTATAATTTATTTTCTTATTTGACAGGCAACCTCTGAACACTATAAATAGAGGGGTTGGCCTAAGGTTTTAGGAGCTTTTGCATATTCAGTTTTCTGTCGTCTTGCTGTGAGTCTCATATTTTCTCTCTAGAACTTGTGAGAATATTTTGCAAGATAGGCTAGAGTTTTCTTGGTGAGGTTAGAGATGAACTTTTGTTGAGTGACCCAATTCGGGGTTTTGATTCCTTGTGCTGTAAACTTCAACATCTGAATGAATTAAATCTCATCTATTTTTCTATTACTTTTCAAAAATATTGTGTGCCAATTTTTATATAAGTTCAGTCACGCTTTTCTTATATAATTCTGTCATGCAATGTTTTGTTATTCAAATTATTTTACAAATTGTCTTTTACTGCAATATTGTCAGATTGATATATTGTCGATTTTAGATAACTTGTAATAATAATATTTCTGGAGTAAACATACAGATTTAATTTATTCGGTTATTTAATATTGTGAATCAAAATTTGGATTGGTGAACGAAACATTAGGGATTCTCGACAACTTACCGTTTTCTTCATACAGATTTTCTCCTTTTTATTTGCAACAAAAATCTCAAAAACTCTCATTTTTCTTTAATTCACTTTTCTCTAACGCTCTTATTCTGTTAATCATTCTTGTTATTTTGTTATCTCTCTGTGGATACGACCGCCCTTCTGTGCTACAATTGACCGCTTGTGAATATCACTTTTGGGCGTTAATCAACTATTCAATGAATAAGTTAAACTATTCACTCGCTGAACTCATGAAGGAGCTTCAAACTGCGGAAACCCTACTGCTTAAAGGCAAAAAGAGGAATGGAGAGGTAAACATTGCTGAAGCAAAGCCTTCCCCCTCTGGCGCCAAGAAACAGAAGAAAAACCGCAACAAGAAGAAACCGAAAGGAAAAGCTGGAAAGGGCAAGAACATTGTAAAGGTAGACAAGAGTAATGACAAATGTCACCATTGCGGAGTAGCTGGCCACTGGAAGCGCAACTGTCTTACCTCAAGGAGGTTAAAGCTAAAGGTACATTACTTGTGATCGAAGCCTGCTTTGTGGCTGACTCTACTTTTTCTTGGATTGTAGACTCTGGAGCCACTAATCATGTTTGTTGTTCTTTGCAGGGGTTCAGGGAAAGCATAAGGCTTAGCAAGGGTGAGTTTAACTTTCGCTGGGGGAACGGAGCATCAGTATCGGCTATATCAATTGGAAGCATTAAATTAGTTTTTGAGAACAGTTTTATTGTTTTGAACAATGTTTATTATGTCGCAGTTTTTGGGAAAAACCTTATTTCTGTAGCTCGTTTGGTTGAGCAAGGATATTCTTTAGGATTCAATAATGATGTTATTCAAATTCTTAAGAATGGTTTCATGATTACTTCTACAGTCATGATAAACAATCTGTTCTACGTCAAACCAATTATTCCAACGATTTATGATACTGAATTGAATAATGATTCAATTAGGGATAGTAAAAGATTGAGGTTAGACCCAACAACGTACAAATGGCATCTACATCTTGGACATATTAGCCTTGACAGGATTAAAAGGTTAGTGAGAGATGGTCCCTTACAAATCTTAAGTGTAGGCTCACTACCTACATGTGAATCCTGCATTGAAGGAAAACTGACCAAGAGACCCTTTTCTACAAAGGGTAATAGAGTTGATGAATGCCTAGAACTCATACATAGTGATGTATGTGGGCCATTCAATATCCAAGCAAGAGGAGGATATGAATATTTTATAACCTTCACTGATGACTATTCTCGTTTTGGTCATATTTATCTAATGCGTCAAAAGTCTGAAACCTTTGAAAAGCTCAAAGAATTCAAGGCCTTGGTTGAAAAACAATTAGACAAACAGATCAAAACACTATGATCTGATCGTGGTGGTGAATACTTGCTGGGAGAGTTCGAAGACTTTCTTAAGGAAGAAGGTATATTTTCTCAACTGACTGCGCCAGGTACTCCTCAGCAGAATGGCGTGTCAGAAAGAAGGAACCGAACTCTATTAGATATGGTTAGATCAATGATGAGTTACTCATCCCTTCGTGATTCCTTTTGGGGGTATGACTTGGAAACAACAGCATATATTCTGAATCAAGTTCCGTCTAAAGCAGTGCCTGGAACTCCATATGAAAGATGGAGCGGCAAGAAGTCATCTCTTGGCCACATCAGAATATGGGGTTGCCCAGCACATGTGCTTAGAAAGAAGACTGGCAAGCTAGCCAGTCGTTCAGAATTATGCATGTTTGTAGGATATCCTAAAGCGACAAAATGCTACATCTTCTATAGTCTTGCCGATCAGAAAACTTTCGTTAGCACGAATGCTCGTTTTCTAGAAGAGGATTTTGTGAAGAATATGAAGCCTAGAAGCAGACTTGTACTTGAGGAATTGACCGGTGAAAATGTTCGTGTAGCATCTTCACGTTCTATTCCTAAACCGATAACAGATGAACCACAACAGGAACTAACACCAATGGAGCCTCGACGTAGTGGGAGGGTTGTGAGACAACCGGATAGGTACATGTCTTATGGAGATGCATTGACTGCAGTCTCAGATTTAGACGTTGATGAACCTGTCTCCTACTCGCAGGCTATGGCAAGTTCTGAAGCAAACCTATGGCATGAAGCCATGAATGCAGAAATACAATCGATGTATAAAAATGGCGTATGGACTCTGGTAGATCCTCCTGAAGGGGTAAAACCCGTAGGGTGTAAATGGATCTACAAGAAGAAGAGGGGTCCAGATGGGAATGTAGAGACATTCAAAGCAAGACTAGTAGCCAAGGGCTACACCCAGAAAGAAGGAATTGACTATGAGGATACCTTCTCTCCAGTGGCTATGCTTAAATCCATCTGTATTCTTCTATCCATTGCTGCTGCCTTAGATTATGAAATCTGGCAGATGGACGTGAAGACAGCTTTTCTGAATGGCAACCTGGATGAGCGCATTTATATGGCTCAACCAGATGGATTCATTGAAAATGGTCAAGAAGAAAAGGTTTGTGAACTGCAAAAGTCCATTTATGGACTAAAGCAGGCATCTAGATCATGGAATATGAGATTCGATGAGACTGTTAAAACTTACGGTTTTATTTAGTCGTTGGATGAGCCTTGTGTGTATAAGTTGATACAAGAAGGCAAAATGGTTTTCTTAGTCTTATATGTGGATGACATACTGCTCATTGGGAATGACGTAGGAAGACTGACTGAGGTTAAGCTCTGGCTTGCAAAGTAGTTTGATATGAAGGATCTAGGAGAAGCTGCCTATGTTCTAGGAATTCAAATCTTTCGAGATCAGAAGAACAGACAATTGGCACTGTCTCAAGCATCCTATATCGATAAGGTAATGGACCGATTCGCCATGCAGAACTCCAAGAAGGGCTATTTACCCTTTAGACATGGAGTATCCCTCTCAAAGGAGTAGTCTCCCAAAACTCCTTAGGAAGAGGAAGACATGAGCCGAGTTCCTTACGCTTCAGCCGTAGGAAGCCTCATGTATGCGATGCTTTGCACCAGACCTGATATATGCTACGCGGTAAGCGTGGTGAGTAGATTCCAGTCTAACCCTGGAGCCGAGCACAGGGTTACTGTCAAGCATATCCTCAAGTATCTTAGGAGAACGAGGAACTACATGGTTGTATACTCAGGTACTGACCTGACTATGACGGGTTACACCGACTCCGATTTCCAATCGGATAAGGATTCCAGGAAATCCACTTCAGGATCAGTGTATATGGAGGAGTATTCAGCAAACATGCATAGCTGACTCCACAATGGAGGCCGAATATGTGGCAGCTTGTGAAGCTGCAAAAGAGGCCGTATGGCTTAAGAAGTTCCTTGTTTCACTGGAAGTTGTTCCGGATGCGAATACGCCCATGGTACTGTATTGCGATAACAGTGGGGCTGTAGCAAACTCTAAGGAGCCTAGAAGCCACAAGAGGTCCAAGCACATAGAGCGGAAGTACCACCTCATCCGGGAGATTGTGCAAAGAGGGGATGTTGAAGTGACAAAGATATCAACACATGACAGCTTGGCTAATCCATTCACAAAGGCTTTATGTGGTAAAGTCTTCGATAGTCATCTGGAGGGTTTGGGGATGCGAGATTGTACACACCTACTTTAAGTTCAAGTGGGAGTTTGTTGGAAATGTGTCCATAAAGTAGGATGTAATTTGTTATTTATGAAATGGCAAATGTCAGACATCATTACTTTGCTGACGTTTATAAATAAAATAAAGTTATGTTTTGATTCATACTCAAGTGTGTTAGTAATATTGCTTTGTCCATAG